TCTCCAAGCACAACTGCCACGCGTTTCGCAACAAGCAATGCCGGCTCTCAGAAGCACACCACAGTGCATGCAAATTCGTACGGACACCTTACTGGCGCCCGTGTGCGCTACGAAATCCAGCCAGATCGCAGCCAACTCATGATCACAACCGACAGTGACTAAACCGCCTCAGGTGGGCTTCCAGCTCCCAGTTCGTGGTGTTCCTGGCACACCTGGGATTTCCGGGGATCGTGGTACAGGTCGGCGAGGCCAGATGCATGGCAAAGCTAGAACAAGGATCTTCGCTCCAGAGTTGGGCCCCTTGTCTGATCAAGGGATCTCAGGCTCATCCTTGTCCACCACATCTCAAGAGCAATACAGACTGAAGGCCCCCATCTGTGGAAAAGCTGCCATCAAAGAACATCAGGGCCCGCCCAGACAACCAAGAACCCAACGGACGAGAAGATTCGTGGACCCGGCTCTAGGCACCAGGACAGTACTACTGAGTTCTCTGGCCATGGCTTGGCTTGTCGAGGCGTGGCAGGCACCCGCGGCATCAAAGGGAAGCCAGGTAAGCCGGGGCAACTGCAGCGACTGGCCTGTGCTTCAGTGAGCACTCACTTGTCCAAGATTTTGCGCATCTCAACGCAGGGAGGTCTTTCTTGCAGCACTGACAGCCGCCAAGGATCAGGATCTTCGCTCTTCGGACAGCCTCTGAATGCAAGGTGGGCGGGTAGTGGGGCACAGGGCTCGTGCAACACGGCGGGGCTGAAACATGTGTAAGCACCCTTCATCTACTCTTCAAGCTCAGAACTGATTTAGAGCTCGGGCTTCGTCACAAAGCTTTGCCTGCCAGGTCACTGCCACCTACTTCAAACGAACCGCTCCTGCCATGCCTCCCGGCTCTGACTTCGAAGCTGGCATTTGCAGCGCTCTGGGAAAGCCGCAGAAGCGCCAATCAGAGGCATCTCTTGTGATTTCTGTGGAGATTTCAGCCGCAGTGCAATCCGGAGGACCCTTCCGGACCGGATCCGCATCCCAGGTACACCACGAACCTTGCAGACTTACGCATACCGGGCTGCACGGAAAACATGGTGGTCGCTTCTTGGGCTGATTGTGCACCCAGAGTCTCAGGGGTGGGTGGGTGATCTGGAGCCGAACGGCGTTGGATTTGGCATTGTTTCTGAAACCGGGTCATCGCTACATGGAAGAAGCCGTCGATCAATTGTGGCAAAACCCTTGGTGCTTCGGCCCGATTTCCGAAATCCTGAGTCTGGGTACCCTGGCCAAATCTGGGCAACATACATTCCCTGCCCCGGCCGGACATCGGGATGAGGTACTGCCGACCAGGCGCATGACCGTTAAACAGCATTGGCTTCCGCGTTAGTAGATATTTATTCGGAGAGTCCAAGTCGCGTTTCAGTCAGGCGGAAGGCAGCTAGGTCCGACTTGAGCTGAGGATGTCGCTACGTCCAGTATTCAAGTCCGTGCTCAAAGTACTCTGCCCATGGCGGTGGTTTATGGTCTCAGTATGTCCATCGCCGCCTTGCGCTGAGGCTGCAGAGTAATTAAAGGCAGATTTCAGTCCTTTCCGGATGTTCATCTTGACATGGAGATGGTCAATGAACAACCGCGAGTCTCACTACTCTTTGTCACGTTGCCTCAACGGGCCTGACAACTAGATCCTGATTTGTCACCGCGTCTCCGTACGTTCAACGTGGTCAACAACCAGATCCTGATGTAGATGCAGAGCAGACGGCAGCGCCTCAAGACAACCATGTCTATGGGGCCGGGCACAAAGCAATCCAACACAGCAACGTATAGGAGCCTCAGCCACCGGCGATAATGATACTGATTTTTACACTCCCGACGTGATGCAGTGTAGCTACTCGTTAAAGATCCTTAAAGTGTAGTTCAGCACCCCCAAGCCCATCCCGCACTCATGTAGGCCAATGGTTTCGGTGAATCATCGTAACTCCGCCGAGCGTTTCTCGAAAAGCCTCCGCAGCCATCGCAAGGCACGTGACACTGCAGCCGCGCATGACACCCTTGACAAGCAGTGGGGCTGTGATGGGCGCAGCTCGGCTGCCCATGCCAAGAGCAGAAACCGTGCACTGGCTTCCGGAGTTGAGCGAAAATGATCCGAAGGCTGAGCCCCCATTGCATGTCTTCTGTGCTCCCGTGAATGATTGAATCGATTCGAACCATTCGAACCCAAGTCCTGCAACATGCCTCCACTGGCCAGATCGGCACGAACTGATTCGCTCGTCCCTGCCCCTTGAAGGTGGCACCAGGATCCAAGAAGCCACTCCCTGCAAGTCCCGAGGCCGGGACCTGTTCATCCAGTTCCTTTTGCCGTTGTAGGTATTCTGGCTTTTATAAAGCTTACGACCGGAGCGTAGACTTACACGCGGTTTGCGTTTGGCTCATTCAACTAGCTTCCACGAACCGGAAGAATGAAGCATTTGAGTCTGTGCACGCCATAGCAAAACCAAAGTCTGCAAAGGTGCAGGAACAGCCAAGCTTTTCGACTCCACAAGCTCGTACTTGTATGAAATCCTGGTGGGTCCCTCGCAAACGATTTGGAGGAATGCCGAACTGATTTGCGGCTCGTTTCTTGGCCCAGGCCTTGCGGGATCGACGAGAAACACGTTATTCTTCAACAACAAAAGCACCAATAGCACCAAGATGAAGACAGAGGACAACAACGTGTTGGTCCACACATGCATGACAGCTGTGATTGGAATTTAGTCGGGCCATGACAAAGCATGCACATGACGCCTTTCACGGGCGCTAGTTACTTGCGCATTCCTGTAACCACTTTTCGGCACTATCCAGCTGCCGCTTCTGCAACGGAGGTCTTCATGTAGCTGATGCGGATTGCAGTGTCACGGCAGGCAGGGGTGTCCATGTATCCACCCTGGACCGTCGAGCAGCGCAACTTCCCAATGCTTACCGCAGCCGGAGGACGAGAAGGTTTTGTCGCTTTTGCCGTGATCACATGGTTTATACACCCATCTGCAGGTAGTTTAAGTAGGACATGAGAGTCACGATGCTTCGCGGAATCAGAAGCAACTACAAAGTCGGAAACTCACCCCAGAAGGTTGGGAAGAGAAGCCACCCTTCCACCGCTCGCAGGAGAGATCAGTCCAACGGAAACAGTTGTGGGAGTTCCCCTTGGGAATGAAGACGGGACCGTCCAGAGGGACGATCATGTGCCCTGGTCCAGGACTGTTCAGGGGGTTAGGTTTAAAGGCTAGACTTTGCTTCGAGTCGGCTGCTGTGCAACCGTGGGTGCTGACGTAAGATCCCATTGCAGCCATAGATGAGACCCAAGAAGTGCTTTAACTACAGAAACTCCGTGAGCACAGCCCCAACCAGTGCTTTTACTGCACATTGCATCTGGAATTTCTTGCGGCCGAGATGCTGCCCTTCCAGCACAGAGTAGTATCACCACTAGCTGCTGCATTGATTATCCCGCCACCCGCGAAGAACCTCCAACAAGATCACAAGACTTCAAGTCCCGCGTGTAAGCACGCGGCCCGCGTGCTTATGCAATGCCAACTCCGTCCAATGGTTGGACATACATGCTGGACTGATGCTATACAGAACAGCTCGCTCCGATTCTGAACTTGAGGCGTATGCCGACGACGACAGCTACCTCTTCTGGGGAGTGGGAATGCTCTATGTTTCGGATTTTGGCTATGCAGGACACCAGGCAGGTTTTCAGTTGTTGCCAGGGTTCTTCGACTCACCGTGACCAGCAGCGTGGCACTTCATGCCGGCGTGCTTTCGTCAATCATCTCGTGGAACGTCGCGTGTGTTTCTTGTAGCTGTTGCGAGCAGACACACATACGAAAAAAGGTGTGTGTGTGTGTGTGTGTGTAGGTGTGTGTTTGTCTGGTCATTCGCACTCATGTCTGTGCGTAGTATACATGTATGTCTATATATATATATATATATATATATTATTTGCTTTTGTTTGTATGTATGTTTGTATGTACGTGTGTGTATGTACGAGTCTATGTCCGTCTGTCTGCCGTCTCTCCCAATCAGCCCGGTCCACTATTATAGAGAGCTTGCATCCCAGCCCGCGGTTTTCAAGTTCTTCGCAGCACCCTGAAGCGCAAAAAAAGCCTTCCATTCATTACTGGTGGCTATGTTGGGTCAATATGTGCCCTTTCGACTGGCTTTCCATTCCGGGAAGAGGACCATGTTCCAGTCAGATCTCCAATCCGACACAGGCAGACTACGCGGTGAACGGCATCGCTGGTGGGTGTGGAGGCTGCGGTGGTTGTGGCGGTTGCGGTGGGTGCGGCGGATGCGGCGGTTAAGCTGCTGAGTGGCCAAGCCTTTTTGCGAGTCCTGCAGTGGACGAGTCCTGCTGACGATGTTCACCAGTGCTCGAACATTCTGACTCAGTCGCCGTAGACCACTCGACTAGCCTGCTAATGCGACATCTACAGCAGCTCCCTTTAGCTGCTACAAGGTAGCAGGCAGCAGCAATCACAGGGAAGTGTGAAAATTGGAGAGGCAGGGATCGTCTTGTGCATTGACTTGCAAAGCCCCTATCGAGAAATGTCGCTGCATTCCAGAGGGATGTGGCCCCCTTGTCCATGGTGTGTTTCCAACACATGGGACCGGGACAAGCTCAACAAGAGCACCTGTCCTGTTTAGCTCCCTTGCCGTCAGGACCAGCCTGCAATGTCGGACTGGCAAGTGGCACAGCCGCTAACCACGAAGTCGTTTCAATAGTCCGAGTACAACAGTCTCTCCGTCGCCCATCTGTTTCTTTTCAACGAACACGTTTCGCTGCGCGCTTCATGCGGCCTGAGCCTTTCTGGGCATGGCCAACCTGCTTGAGGGGGACTCTTCTTGGCAATAGGCTTGCGCGCTGCATTGCAGAGCCACGCCAGTCTGTATGGTAAGCTGCACCAAGACTCCTGAACCCAAGTGATAACCCAGCTCTCATCCAGATGTCAGTGTCCCTCGAAACGGAAGCTTTGTGCGACGTAAGTAAGGCCCAGTGTGGCTTGGTCCCAGATCAGCGCTTCAGCTTTTACGATCACGTGCACACCACGGGCCGCGAGCTCAGCCAATCTAGGGTCACGATGAGACCACGTCGTGTGGCCCGGGGCCGGTGCATCCGCAGTCGCACTCAGAACCGTGCTTTCAAATCTGAATCAACCATGCAGGTGGAGCCACATGACGCCAGATTTAACCTTCCAAAGTTCCCCGGCAATCCAAGACCAGGTATGGACGTGAAGCAGCCGCTGCTTTGCACAGCCGCCCTGACTTTGAGCAAGGCTGGGGGGAGTTCGCAGCATAAATATCTGAAATCCATGGGGTCACGAAGAAGCTTGATCACTGATGTTCTGACTTCTGACATCGCACTGGCACAAACAATTAGTTCCTGCGGGACGAAATTGTGTTTCAGAGCATCGTGCAGCATGCCACACCCTGAATTGACGGCATCGAGTGTTGGCTAAGACCTCCCAGTGTCTCAAACGATCAGGACATGACCTTGCGGGACTACGCACAAGGCGCCTATCGAATGCGCGGCATAGGCGGGGCGGATCTGCACCATGAGATGCGGATACCAGACTGCACTTGGGAAGGACAGCTGAGCTGGGAGTAGTTCAGCCAATATGCCTGCACGGCAGGACGCGGCCAGCGCATTGACCTCCTTGTGACGCCCGAGGTCAGTGCGCTCATGAACAAGCCCGGACCTGGTCTTGCATTGAAGCTTTATGATAAAGGTTAGAGGATGTTGGAGGTGAAGCGGGGCGGCTTCAAAAAACTTTGGAGCTCTCCGACCAGAGGATGCTAGAGGTCTGGCGGCAAGAGGTCGAGAAGGGAGTATGCAAAGACTGCTTGTGCTGGCCAGGTTCCTTCCGTATTATGTTGGACTCTTCGACGTGCTATCTCTGCTGGAACGAATGTGCCTGTGTTCAGTCTGGATGAGAGGGCCGGGCTTTTCAGGGTACACATCGAGACCTCAGGTCCCTCAGCAGGGTCGCGCAGCTGAGCGAAGAGGTGCACCACGGAAATGGTTTGCAGTTGCTCCATGTATACGAGCAATACGATCACTAGACTAGCAGCACTAGCATGCATCGTCAGAAACCTGAAACGAGAAACACATTCCCAGTTGCAGGTTGCTCCATCCGGCGTCTAGTGGCTAGTGGCTCCATACAGTAACCCTGGCCTCGGAGGCACGATCGAGAAGTCTCGCCGATCTCAAGAAGAAGAAGGAGGCAGCAGGGCAGCAGAGCCAAGGTGAAGACTGCTACTTGTAGCTGAGGGCCGGTGACGGTGTGGTTTAAACGCCGCAAGAGTTTGCAGGTTGAGCAGTGGGACCCAGTATTGAAATTAGGACCTACAGTGCCAGCCGGGGTGCAGCAGAATTCCTGCATCGTGCGGGAGCTCCGAGGCCTGGGCACAGCTCGTGCTGGTGGATGTCATCACCTGGCTCGTGGTCAACGGCCTTGCAGCAGAGGTGGCCTGGCTCCGCTTTGGCCATCGCAGACCATAAAAAGAGGGAACGATGATTTGCGCCCTACAGGAAGAAGCCGGTACCAAACCGCGGAGCAACGGACGCTGCGCAAACCTGCATGAGCGAAATGGCTCACGGCTCAAGCTAAATAGACGAGAATTTTCCCAAGTCATGACACGCACCGCCAAGAGAACCGCAATGGAAGGTGGTTACAAAGCCGGCACTGCCCGCGTGGTGCGAATCGACATGCACACACCCAGCCACACAGAGCAAACCCCCTTGTTGAGCTTTCAAAGAAATTCACTTCGATGAATGCTGTTTTGGTCTTGTGCATTGAAACTGGCTGTCCAGTTCTGAGTCTAGAACTCCGTTGCCGGCAGAGCACCCAATGAGAACCCACGGAGAGAACTTACTAGCTTTAATTTCATCCGCAATACAGCCTCCTCTGCGGCTCAGAGTTCACTTTACCGTAGCCCTGATCAGGCCAGCAAGCGCCAGCTTCTGCACCAGCAGGACCTCCGGAATCTCTGGCGAAGTGCCGCTTGCCGGGCGGCCTGGAAATAGCGTCTATTTTTGTTCGGAAGGAAGGTCAGAGTTTTCAGTTTGTCAACTTGTTTTGGCTTTCGTGGTGCTGCGATGAGCGCCGACACTCGCTGAATGCAAGGCATACTTGCTAACTTCCGGACAATACTGTGTCCCGTAGCAATACATAAGTATCCAGTCAAGCGTTGCTTTCGTGTTGTGAACCTATCAACAGTTGCTAGTCGAGGGGTTGTAGTTGTAGTGTTAGTATGATAGTATGGTGGTCATAGATCATAGCAGTAGTAGCAGTAGCAGTAGGAGCAGTAGTAGTAGTAGTAGTAGTAGTAGTAGTAGTAGTAGTAGTAGTAGTAGTAGTAGTAGGCGTAGGAGTCGCAGTAGCACTAGCAGTAGCAGTCGTCGTCGTCGTCGTCGGCATCGTAGCCATAGTCGTAGGAGCCTCAGTCGAGCACGTGTCGGAGTAACGACGTAATTAACAATGGAGTCACACCCAGAGCCCGCCTTCCGAGGGCCTGCCAGCGCACAGGGATGCACGGGGCCTTCAATATTGAACAAATCGCAAGCAGGTTGCCACACTACAGACTAACAGCAGCGCTAGCGTTTCGAGGGTCTGTCAGCGTGGGTGGGGGGTAACAGTGGAAGAGGTGTGGAACTCGCTGCTTCTATGCATTTGCGATCCTTTGCACGCTGATGCTTGGAGACTTTGTCAGATGATTTGTGGAAGCAGTGCAGCACACCAGCTTGCTTCTTGTCCATCATTGTATGTTTGTTGAGCTCTCTCCTGCTCTCTGTGTGGCCTGTGCGCCAATGCACGGGCACATGCTACGAGATGGTCGGTCGAGTCATGCTGTGCTATTCTTTGATTTGTTTCGTCACACAAGGGGGACTGTCTGCTAATACCTTGGAGGCAGTGTCCTCGAAGCACGACGAGACCCCGAGGCCTGGCTGCTTCAGGCACGGGGCGGTCAGAGAGGGCCTTGCGCCATCTTGCGACGTTATCTGCTTGCTTGCTCCGGATTGCGGCTGTGCATCCCGCTCACTGAGAGCCTTAGCTATTTGCTTGTTTGGGTGTTTCGAGCAGTTATCATCAGATACAACCCGTAACAGTACGACAGTACTGGACAAGTAGGATTGCATTCAAAACGAAGCAGGAGGTTGAATCTGTACAGCTGCAGCGGTCTTTTGGGAGGGGTTCTGGGATTGCAAGCCTGAGGAATCTTGGCTGCAGCATTTAACCGTGGGGCTGCACAGTTGACTGTTGGGTCTGTGTGCCTCTTGCTGCAATGCGTGGCTTTGGGATGCGTAAGGAGCGCTAGGACGATGCAACGCCACGTTCTCAATCACAGCGTTTGTGTCGCACCCCTCAGACTGTTCACGCTCCGGTCCCGTTTCTTCTTGGAATCTTCACATGTGCGGCAAGATGTCTTGTCCCTTGATCCCCACGTATCCATCGCAGCGGAGCTGACAGCAGTATGCAGGCTCCTTTCACAGAGCCAACGACCTGCTGACGGATTAGGTGTGCCGGAGCATTGCTCCGAGCCTACACCAGCCACTAGCCCCAGCCCAAACCCTCAACTCGCAACCCTTAACAGTGATGCCATGGCCACTTCGTCTGAGCCTGCGGCTGCGTCTGAAAGGCACTCCGACTCCCACGGCAGGGTTTGTAATTCGGCTTCATGTGCGATCGATGTTCGGGAAAGCTCGAATCAAAGCCTGGAGGCATGACGCCTGGACTGGTTCAGAAACTGTAGAAGTTGTTTTAGCTAGTGTTTCGGCAAGCGTAAACATCGAGATTGGGCTCGGACGTTTGTAGGACGCACTCTGCGTCTCGAGACTCGAGATGGCCAGGAGCCGTCACTGCAGCCACATGATTGTCAGGGCATGATTTGATGCGTTGATGGCTATCCTCCGAGCTTCTCGGCACAGTGACTTCATCGCCTAGAAGCCCGCTGCGGCAGTATGGTCGCCCCATGCTTGACATGATCTCGTGTCTTCATAGCAGCACGCGTGACAGCATTTCTGCACTTGGGGGAGACGACTGCAAGATGCACGAGCACGGGTTGACATGACGAGTGAAGACACCACAGCAAGTGACGCCTCGAGATCTCGAGAGAGAGAGAGAGAGAGACAGAGTGGTTGGGTCGGTCCAGATGTCGCTTTGCCATCCCTCTAGATGTCGAGGAACATCGGGGAAACTCAGCATGTCCTTAACCAATCACAAATGTGGTTGTATGGCGCGTTGAAGTCAAACTAGTAGTACAAGTTTCCCGGATGCTGCATGTGTCAGTAACATGATTGAAACCCCTTCGGTTCTATAGTCCAAAACACCTCTGTGCCGTGGTCGCTGGAACTCACTTTGTTCACACCCCTCCAATGCCCCATAACACATGGGAGGCCCAGCTGGCCAGGGTGTCTCATTCCGGGATGCGCTACTGCTAGTGTTCAGGGCTGTGCAGTTGCGTCAACCTAACGCTCCCTTCTGAGTCTGCATCCACACCGCGGGGGCAATATGCCGCCTGCGCTAGAAAACCCGATGCCTCCTCTCCGACGTCAGATTAAAACGGGGGCGCCACCGGCGGGTCCGACCTGCTTGGACCTATACCCCAAGGAGGAAAGGAAAAAGATGGAGATAGAGAGGGATGGGGAGGAAGCGAAAGAGTAATAAACCAACAAGCACGAATCGAGCAAGACGCTTCGGTTCAGAGGCGGACAAGGGACAACTGTCGAACTGAATCCTTCATGCTGCTGACAGAAATTCCCGGATACATAGCACCCAGATGTTCCATGATTCCCCCTATGCCCTGGGCATTGTCCGTTCTTTAGTTCGGCCAACCAGTCAAAGGACCCCAAGGACCCCTATCCTTTCGCCCCGTCTGCAGGCAGGCAACTCTGCTGGACCCCATCACTGGGCTTCCGCCCGGATGGCGTCAGCGCGAGAAGACAATCTTGCACCTTGCCGAGGTTTCGAGGCATGCTGAACTGCTGCACTGCTGCACTGCATAGCTGCAAACACCCCAATAACCTCGCCAGCTGGTCCGAGTGTGGGGCACTCACCCCCAGCTTTCCTCTGCTGCATCCTCAGACATAGCTTGGCCACAGTGCCACCACAACAATATCACTGCTACTGCCAAGTTGCATGGCATCCTTGCCATCATTGCTACTTGAAGTGCCAATTTCCTTGGAGTTCTTGTTATCTCCCGCAGGTATTGCATCGTCGATGGGTGCCTTTTTTCTGGTATGTGTGCCGTGCTGTTGCTGCAAGCCGGTGCAAGTAGGAATTTCACTGTAGCTGCGTAGTGCGTAACGGTTGCTACAGGCAGACTTACTAGTGATACTAGTGTCATGTCCGTATTACTGCGAAGCACCTGCTGGCAAAGTCGCGTCTTGCGATAGTAGCAGGCGTCGTTGTGCAGGTGGCAGCAGTCGCAGTAGCACTTGCAGCATCAGTGCCAGTAGCCGTAGCAGTACCTGCAGCAACAGCAGCAGTAGCAGTAGTAGTCGTCGTCGTAGTAGTAGCAGCAGGAGCAGGAGCAGCAGGAGGAGTAGTAGTAGTAGCAGCAGCAGCAGCAGGAGTAGTAGTAGTAGTAGTAGCAGAAGAAGTAGTAGTAGTAGTAGTAGTAGTAGTAGTAGTAGTAGTAGTAGTAGTAGTAGTAGTAGTAGTAGTAGTATCACAGCAGTAGCAGCAGCGGCAGGAGGAGGAGCAGTAGAAGTGGTAAGTAGTAGTGTATCTATGTATGCAGGTATGTACGTAACATACATAGCTGCGTACATGGATGCACTTCAAGATACACGCATATATATATATATATATATATATATATATATATGTATGTATGTATGTATATATGTATATATACATATATATATATATATATACAAAGATACATGCAGGCGGACACATGCACACAAACACACGTACAAGGGGATCCTCCTTTTGCTTCGTCTTCAGCTCCATAGATAAGCACCATTCGCCAAGGAGCGGCAGCAAAGCGGGAGAGATGCAGCAATTCTTCGAGAATGATCTCGGGAGAAAAGTAGACAGCATCAAGAAGCTCATGAAGCTCGTGTGCGACGTGACTGGCGAAGACGTTGAGCAACTGACGCAGCAGAGCATGGCGATCCGCAACCCTGAAAGCACGAGCCTTGGATGCGCTTAGAAGCACGCTTGACACCTAGCTGCCCTAGCTCGCTGTGTTTCTGCTTGCTGCTTCGAAGATGGTCCGAGATCCAAACGGGGACCGTTCTTCCGTCGCGAGGAGTCCTGTGCAACCAGGCCATGAGACCCTAACAAGCCCTGTCGAAGCAGATGGCAAAACCACCTTGGAGCCCTATTCCTGCAACCTGCGAGCTTTTGAGGAAGAGCGCTAAAGCAAAAGCGCCCAAGGCCAAGGCGAAGGCCGGTAGAATGTCACCTGGACGGGGTGTTCTTTAACCGCATGAGGGCAGGCTAGCGGTTTCTGCGAAGTACTGAGAGATGGAGAGCTCATGTCAAGCGAGCCTGATGCCCGCATCCATTCGCCAGTCAGACACAGTTGCGCTAGGCACACACTTGGGCTTGCTGCAATCGAGCTTGCTGTATTGCCACGTCCTGTGGGCTGTTTCACCATGCTCGGGAACCCTACGCTGTGCGCGTGTGCGCGTGCGTGCGTGCGGATTTGCACCTCAACACATGTTGTGTTTCGTTGGCATACGTGAGCAATGAAGTCGATCTGAAGGCTCCGGGGTTGGGGTACTACATGGCACTAACTTGTGTTTGCTTGTTTTCTGAACTGACCCCGGAAGGCCTCGTAGTGATGCACGAAGTGCATAGTTGAGTTGCCGACCCGAACGCATGAACCTCGTCTGGCTTGTCCGAGTTGCGAGAGTGTAACACATGCCACCGCCTGACGAGTTCGGACAGGCAGGTGTCCGTCTGGCAGGAGACAGTCAGACCAACAACTCTGTTTCACTCTCATGCAGGCTGGCAGGTACTTGTACTTGAGATCCGTTGTCGTACAGACCTTGTTTGTTTCTGGCAATGGCTACAGCCGAAGGACACAATGCCGTTGCGGAACATGCCGAAGTTGATGAGGTCGCAAGCATGGATGGTTCGGAGTGAGAGTAACTTTATGTTGGCACTATCTCCGGCAGAAAGTTGCTGCGACGACTCTGCAGGCATCCCAGCCGGCTGGGTGATGCCCAATGGTCGACTCGCAGTAGGTACCATGGAAACACTTCAGTCCGAGACTGTGGACCGGTGTCAGCCGAAGCCAAATGGATTGGATTCAGGACGCTCTGCAAAACCCACAACTCGTGCACCTGTGGAGTACTGGGTCGCAACCGCAGAGCCTGTTGGATCGAGGTTGCTAGAGGATAGGGGCAACAGAAGTTTCCAGGCGGATGCGCCGAAAGCCGCTGCCAAAGTTAAGGCCCGGGCCTCAGTCTTCGGGACTCCATGGCATTGAGTGCTCCTCATTGAAGGCCCTGGAAGAAACGAGCCAGCTCCGAACAAGCACTGCATCAGTGCTAGTTTTCTGCGAAGCTTCACAGATTCGCTGATAAGCTCCAAATCTGCACTGTACGCACAAGTGCCATTTCGGCCAGACTTCGGACCCATCTTCCGTGTTTTCATCGTGGCCGAGGTCAAAGAAGAGCCTGCAAAGGAACCCAGCGAGCCCAAGCCGTCGAAGCACCTTGGAGCTGAATTCTGATTCGTCCTTCGTGAGGTTGCCACAGAAGTGTGTCGACTTCGGAAACAGTTCACAGGCCACAGGCACACGCAGGAGGAGAGGAAAGACTTGCACCATGCGTATGTTATTGTTACATAGTGGATTCACTGCATTTTTCGTGCCCTTGCATTGCGAGACTCTTGATGATGGCATTGCAGAGAGAGAGAGAGAGAGAGAGAGAGAGAGAGAGAGAGAGAGAGAGAGAGAGTTGCACTGCCTGGGGTTTTCTCTCTTCTTTCCTGCTGTTACCTAGGAGCGGCAGGTCTCAACCCGGGCGCTCCTCCTTTCTTGCCTGAGCCGCCTCAGCCATCAGCGACCGGGAGGACATAGGCCAGAGTGCGCTCTTCACCGAGGGGGTGCGGAACGGGGACATAGTCGGGATTGCTCCACGAGGGGATCGGCGGCCTACTTGCTGCTGCTTCGGGAGCTTGACACCTGCTACCCCAACAATATCGGCGGCCCTACAGGACTTCGCCGGCCTCCCGCCGATCCGGGACACCATCCACCTCGAACGGGGACACCAACACCTACCTGATCGTGATAATGGCACGCAGGGCGACCTAGCATTCTTTGCCTACGTGTGGGGGTCATGACTGACCCGATGGCGACAGACCCCGCCACGCCTCCAGCCCAGAAGAGAAGGGGGGCGCCGGAGGAAGAAAAGTTCAGCCTGGAGGCCATTCGCGAGGTGGTGCGCAGCGAGGTCACGGGGAGTACAAGCACCCTCCGAGCCGAGATCAACCAGCGCATGGACAGGGTCGAGACGGGGGTCACGGCGCAGCTAGAGCGCACCTTGGAGCGCCTGGCAGCCATCACCAACCAACAAGCGGAGCAGCAGCGGGTCGTGGAAACCATCCAGGGGGAGCAGTACTCCATGTCAGCCAGGCTACAAGCCCTCGAGAATAAGGTGCAGGTTATCCAGAGCACGGGGGCTTCCAGCACAGCGGATACGGACTTTGGAGGGCGCAAGCCCGCGCTCATTTTGGGCGGATGGGGGGGATGACACCCCCGCGGAGGAAACCCTGAACCATGTGAAACAGATGGTCAAAGATTTGCGGCTGGACATTCCCACCGACCAGGCCTTCGTCCCGGGGGTCAGAAGGGGTTACGCAATACTCCCTTATGGCGCCAAAGAGGGGGAGGACCAGCAACAACTACGAGACCGCCTGTCAGCCGCCCTCCGCAGAGTTCGCCAAGCCAATATCCAGATGGGGGTGCAGCAGGATGGCAAGGCTAAATACCTCTGGCTCCAGCTGTCCCAGTCGCCGGAACGGAGAAGGCGCGTGCAGCTTGCCGGAAATGCAAGCGCCTTTGCCTTACTTTGGGGGCAACCCTGCCCAAAGTCGAGACCGAGTGGGCAACCGGAACGGTCTGGCTCAACTCAGTGCGCGTCGCCTCGGCTACCACTACCAAGCCGGGGGAAGCAGATGAAGCGGGAGCAGGCTGGATCAATCTCAAGGCGATCGCACGGGGCTCCACCAGACCGACGCCGAGGTCGAGCAAGTGTGGGGGGAGCTTAAGACAGCCCTCCGCTGAGGCACTGAACCCACGCAGAGCAGCGGCGAGCAGGGGGACGAATCGCCCTCCAAGCTCAGGTTTCACTACAAGGGCCGGTCCAAGGCCCAGCGACGCACGATTGTCGTCGCCACCTGGAACGTCGGCGGCCTCTCTGCGGCTCATGCACTTGAGCTGCTGCAGACGAACAAAGTGCTCTCCTCAGTCTCAGTTGTCATGTTTCAAGAAATCATCACAGAGCCAGGCCGGCATTTTGCCACGAACCAAGCCTGGACACTTGTTTTCGGCAAGGTGGAGGGGGAATGGAGGGGGGAAGGGGTTGCTTTCCTTTCGCTTTTTGGCAAACACAGTAAATCGCAAGTCATGCCAGCGGGGGTGGCCACTACACTCATCACAGCCACGGGACACAAGTGGGGGCTGCTCAGCGCGCACATGCCGCACCACGCCACCATCCCGCGCGCTGAAGCACTGTTGGCACAATGGGGGGAATGTCACGCGCTCACACACAGACGGGTGGCGGTGGGGATCGATGCCAACGAGACATTCAAACCCACGCAGCACGCCGACCAGCAGCAAGAGCAAGTCCAGGGAAGAACAGGCAGAGGGGAGTGCATCCTGGCCTGGATCCAACGCAGGACGCTCCGGCTCCCACCCCAGGACCTGGCCACCTTACGACACCACGCAGCTACCACGACGCCTGGATTACGTGGTGGTCCAGGGCTTTTTGTCCACGGCAGGAGAAGTGGGGGCGGTCCGACATGGCCCGATCCGACCATGAGCCAGTCATCCTGCACCTGAGGGGGGACCCCCCCAAAGCCGCCAAGGCCACCACCACTTGCGGCCCACGACATGCACACATTTCCAAGCCCAAAGACCTACAGCGCCTCCTAGACGAACAGCCGGCCAAGCCCCCGGCAGACCGGCACGCGCAGCTTGTAGCAGTGAGCCAGATGATCACCAAGCCGGGGAGGGCAGAAGCCAGCCAACATGACTGGTCAGCATACTGGCAGCACAAACGGGGGGACAAAGGGGACACGTGGATGGCGGTGCTCACCGATGACCACAACTGGCTCGCCCATTTCAAGGGCATCTTCCACAAAGACAGCGGCAACGCGAGGGACGCCGACTTCGCAGCACGAAGGGAGCGCCTGCGCAGGAGATGCAAGCACGTGGGGTGGCAGCCGTTCTCTCTAGAAGAGATCGGGGGAGTTGCGGTGCGCTGGAAAAACAACAAGTGCACAGGACCAGACCACATTTCCCACGAAGCACTCCACATCCTGCTCACGCACCCCATCTGGGAGCACAGGATCCAGGAGATGCTGAACGACGCACTCTACACCGGCAAACTCCCAGCAGCCGTTGAGCGGGGAGTCACCATACTCCTCCCCAAGAATACGACCCCCCAGACTTGGGGGGAGACCAGGCCGATCACGCTAAGTAGTGCCATCCTTAAGGCGATCGCCCAACTGCTCCTGCGCCGATGCGCCTACACCCTCCGACCCCACAACACGCTGCAATGGGCCGCACCCCGGCGACAGGGTACAGAACTTATCCTCACGTTGCGGAAGGTGGCCAGAATGGCGAGGGACTGGGGGGGGTCTTCTGGATAGTCAAACTCGACCTCCAAAAAGCCTTCGACTCCGTCGCTCAGACCAGCCTCGCAGATCTCGTGGAGACAAACATGGGGGAAACACACCCATGGGAGGCTTGCCTGTGGCTTGCCCTCTTGGAGGCCAGGGGATTGGAGGTTGCAGCGGGGGGAACATACACCAACGTCCCACAGACAAACGGCGTGCAACACGGTTCTCCAGACTCGCCGGTGCTTTTCTCGGCGCGCGTCGGGGAGTGCCTGAAGGCCCTCCTCACAGCCAAGACAGACCTTAAGCGCAGACTGCAGCTGCACAACGTTCTGGTCCGCCAGAGCGCCCTTTGGGCGGCGGAAACATGGCCGGTGCACACGTACCTACTCAAAGCAGCCAACACGCAACAGCTGTATACAGCATGTGCACAACATGTTGGGGGGGGCGCGCGCACCAGGGGAGGCCTGGACAGACTGGAACAAGAGGTCCCTCAGAATGGCACGCGTGCACCTACAGAAGAACAAGATCGAGAGATGGTCAACCTACATTTTGCGGATGGTTTGGGGAGTGTGGGGCACGTGGGGAGGTCGGGGGATGTCACCTACGACATGCTACTCTGGAGGGGGATGCACTGGTGGAAGCAACAGCAGCAACTGCCACACGACGTGGGAGCACGCCACGCAGCGCGCTTCAACAGCAGCCTCGATACAGAGAGGCATATTGTTGGCGCAGCGGGGGATGGCATCCAACGCATGCAAATGTTGCATACATTTGTGTACGTGTGCAGGTTTTGCCTACAGAGGCCTGTTTCTGAACAACGTTAGCAAAATTTGCATACAAGGTTCGAGGCTAGATTCCATGGAATTTTCCGGTTGCAGAGTCACGAGAAATCACGCAAAATCACGCCGAACTCCGTCAGCGTATACAGATTTTATAGGGAGCCAAACCCAAAATCACGCAGAATCACGCAAAATCACGCGGAAACCCCTTAAACGTCCATCGACTTCCCGCTGACTTTCTTGAGCGTTATCAAATTTTATATACATGAGTGACGTTCGCCAATTCTGCATACATTACAACGTTGGCCTTATTTGCATACACGGACGCCCGGGGGGAGAGATGGGGGGAGGTCGCAGCAGACAGACTTGCGTGGGACCGTCTCGAAGAGGCCTTCGTGGACGCACACGACCCACCCTGGTGCTCCGGCAAGCAAGCACAACTGGAAAACCTTGCACAGACCAGAGCCACTGCCAGAAAAGCCAAAGCACTACGAGACCGCAGAAAGGCACGCAGCGCGGGGAGGAGGCTGCTTAACTAGCCCTAGTGATGGCGCCAGCCTGAGTGAGCTGGTCGCAGCAGCATGACAACACCCCTGCTTTCCTTCCTGTTTTCTCGCACGCATTTCAGCAAGACGGGGGGGGCACTGCCGTTTGCATGCACCCACCACGACCACCACCACACACCACAGCTGACGCCACCCACCGAGAGAGAGACTGAGAGAGTGACATGTCCAGTACAGTTTTTTGCTTCTTGTGCAGCAAGCTTGCAGTTGCATTGCCTTGAGCCAGCACGACCATGGGGAGCGAGAAGCACACCAAATGGAGCAACGCCTCCACACCAAGAGCCACAGCCAGCGGGACAGCAGCGGCCCAAGGCGAGGCCGGAACAGGAGACCCACGGCGCAAGCGAGGCTACCACACGGCCCCAGGCAGCACAGCCGCGGGCCCAGCAGCCAAGCCAGACAGGGGAGGCTGGCAATGCAACCATACCCAGCCACAGCAGCAGCTGGGTTGCAGCCGACAGCAGCCCCCTGCCGCGCGGCCCCAAGCAACACAGCCACAGGCCCAACAGCCCCAACCCAAGACAGGGGAGGGAGGACCCCATGCACAACCTTCTGGCACCGCGGAGGCGACACAACAACCACAGCCGCAGCAGCCACCCGCAGCCACCAAGCCACAAGCTCGGGAGCCTGCCAGCAGGGCAGAGGAGGAGAACAACCAGACGGAGCCCCACAGAACCCACACAGCCGCCGCGACCACAAGCACCGACGGGGGGGCAAGCAGCAGCCGACCATGCAGGGGGACCGGCGCCGCACAGCCCGCCCACCGAGCAACTTACAGACACATGTGCGGCCGAGGGGGGTGCCACCTGCAGTGGGGGGGCAACACAGAACAACAAGCATGAAGGCCAGGGGGATCAGCGCAGAGGAAACAAATTTTTAACGGTGCGGCCTTATACCAAACCAGCGGACATGACGTGGAACCAAGCTGGGCCCATAGTGGGCATGCAGGCGTTTGGGGAAGACGATAATGATGAGGAAGACGAGGAAGAGGACGCAGAAGCCCAGGCCCCACCGCAACAACGAGGGGGCAGACAAGCAGCAGCCGGCAGCAATTCGCCGAACTGCTCAACCGCCACCTGCTGCCTTGGGACAGGCCCCCACCACAAGCACCACAACCACCCAACCCCGCCACTACGGCACAAGCCGGGAGGGGACATGCAGAAAGCCCTCCGACAGCCGGCACCAGCCACCAGCACAACACAGACCGGGGAGCTCGCTCTGAACAAGGCGCCCCAACAGACACAGCGATGCACCGACAACAACCCAGCAACGCCACCCAACAACCGGCCAGCAGCAGCAGTGACGCCACCACGCCCATCACGAACAGCAGCAGCAGCGGGGGGAGGCAGCCAAGGCCCCATGCCGCTAGATTCACCCATCTCTTGGGTCGAGGGCGGCAGCAGATACATCGGATCCTGGGGGGGTATCTCCCCCCGCTCTCTCCCACCAGAGCTGCCGCTGAGCCAATATGCACATGGGCATTTTCGCTACTCAGGGGAGGCGGCTGGGGGGGCATAGTGCTGGCAAAGAACTCGCCAGCCACACCAAGTTACAACACCGCCCGCCTGCGCGGCTACGCAAAAATGCGTCAAACGGCGGAAGGAGGGAGCGCAGGCGCGACGCTCAGCATTGGAGTGCAATTTGAGTTGCACCCCCTTATGCAACGGGGGCCGTGGCACTTCTTTCTCCGCTCGGTGCCACGGCGGGGGGAGCCAAGCAGCCTCCAGTTGAGACCTGGACACTTTCGCATGACGTGAACAGAACCGGGGCGCTGGAGGATAGAACCCATGGACCCGGAAGACGGGGAGTTGCTTGCCCGTGCGCGCAACGACGCATGGGGGAGGCCACCACTGATGAGTGCTCACATGCAAGAGCACGAGCTCCAGGGGGGAAGCTGACCTAGCAGTGATCAGAGGAGCCCGACGCCTCGTGCAGCTCCCCGAACAGGACCCACACGCACCGCGAGCCCACCCAGCCACAGCACTCAGACAGAGCCAAGAACCGGGCGCCAGACCGCTTTTTTACCCAGGGGACGAAGCGTGGGGAGAGGGCAATCCATCCGTGGGCGATCCGCGTGTGGCGAGAAGCCGCCCCACAAAGACCAGCAGAGGGGACAGCCAGCGCAGCAAGCGGGGGGAACACAGCTCCACAAGCCACACCACAGGCACAACAAGTGCAGAACCACCACCACACGGAAGCCGCCAGAGCCAGACAAGCCACAGCCCCAACTCAGGCCACCCAACGTGCCATGCAGCCACAGCCACCGGAAGGCCACCATACAACACAACAAGGGCAGAACCACCACCACACGCAAGCCGCAAGCCAGAGGCACGGGCAAGCAGGCCCAGCCACACCAAGGCAACCCACTGAAACGGCAGCAGCAGATAGCACGCAGACCACGCCGGACGCAACAGCGGGACCCAACGCCACCAGCGATACCATCCATACAAGCAAGCCCAGTCCAGATCACGAGCGCCTAACCGGGGAGTCCGGTTGCGCACACTCCCCGGCCGTGATCCAGGACGACAAGCCGCTAGCCACAGCAGGAAGGGGGGCATCACAGGGGGAGGCTACACTCGAACGACCCCCACAGCAGCATACCCAGCACAGGCCCCACACACTCCCGACAACCGAGCGATTCCGAAACCAGCTGGACCAGTGAAGACCCCCCCGAAGCAGACGATAACACCCTCATGCAGACACACACAACACCGCAGGCAGACGACCGACCAGGGCGGAAAACACTCCACTACCACCACCACCGCCAGCAGCCACCTGCCACGACAGCCTCGCAATGGGAGCAGCGACGACTTGGGCACCACAGTGCCGTGGCATGCACCCTCACCCATTCCGGAAGAAGGGGCCACCACGGAAGAGGAATGCTGGCTACCGGTGGGGGAGAGACGACAGCGCGAAGCCAGCCCAGAACAACCAAGCCCCGAGCCTAGCCCACTCAAAAAAGCCAGGGGGCAAGCGGAAGCGCTGCTACGCAGCGAAACAGATGAAACACTGGCTGCCTGGATGCAGGTCACCGGCAATGAAGGGGACCACCTGGACAGAGACAGAAGAGCTAGAGGGGAGGAGCGAGTTGTGGGCGACAAAGCGCAGGCCCAAGCCGAAGCAGCAGCAGAGCTCCTCCAAGAAGCCATGGCCCTTGCAAGAAGCATCGAGCTTCACGGGGTGGAAAGCCACCTCGCGGCCGCAGCCACAAGCCTCAGCCTGGCGACGGAAGGGGACATGGGCCGGAGAGGAATCGCGCCTCCACCCACGCCCAACGCGTTCCAGATCGCAGCGCTCGTCGCGCGCATCTACGACGACAGGCTACAAAGGGGGGATCCCCCCACGCAAGGGGAGCTGGCAGAGGTCCTGGAACTAACGCAAAGTGTAAGCTCTCATGTGTCATGATCTGTGTGCTGCGTGTTGTGAGATCTGAGTGCATCATGTCAGCACCCGACCGCAGGGCAAGGGTGCTCGAGCGTTGAGCCAGGAGCGGCAAAACAATTTGTGCGAGGCTTTTGCCTGCAAGGGTGTGCGGCGTGTGTGCCTCCTTCATGGTAGGCGGAGCTCTGCTGGAGAGATCCAGGGAGCCTGCGGAGAGTGTGGCTGGCGGCGCTGAGCTGGCTGTGGAAAAGGAAGCGGAGAAGAAGGCAGGGAGCGACTGAGACGTGATGGCCCAGAACACGTATGGTTCTGAGATCCCTGTCTGGGATGGCGACCCCAACACCTTCGAGCGGTTCGCTAGCGCATGCCTGTGGTACTCTTATGGGCTGAAGGACAATGAGCGGCACCTGGCGGCAGCCAGGGTTTGGAACAAGATGACCGGGCCAGCGAAAGGAGTGATTCGCCACCTGAACCCCGAGGATTTTGCTGTGTCTGACGGCATCAACAAGCTGGTGGCGGTGCTGCGGGAGTCTCCTTTGCAAAAGCTCCCGATTCCTGACTCCTTCTCTCGCCTGGAGAAGTGGTCGTCCTTGCACAAGCGCAACTCCGAGACGATTCCCCAGCTCATTGTCCGAGAAGAGGAGCTGTTCACAGAGCTACAGGTGTCCTTGAAGAGGGCCCGTGAGACGTCAAGGCAGGGCTTCTTCGAGTCAGCCGCTGGGAAAGGAAAAGGAAAAGGCCTGGGCTCCTTCTTTCCGGCTGCGGCAAATGCTTCGAGGCCGGCGGCTGCAGGTGATGGCGAAGCGGAAGAAGGCGAGCCCAAGCTTGGGAGCGCCACTGGCGGATCCCCCGGCGGCAGGTCTTCGGCACCTTCGGCCCAGGACTCCGAGCAAGCGGCCCCCTTGACTGGCTTCTTCGAGGACCAGCTTCGAGAATACCGCCTGCTGAAAGCATCCCACCTCGGAGCCCATGAACGGCAACAAGTGTTGACCCTGACCGGGAATTCGACGAGCTTCCAGCCCATCAGGCAAGCCCCAGGGACGACCTGGCGGCACTTGGTGGCACGACGAGGTGGTATACGGTGGAACCAGGCCTATCACTACGAGCGGGCACCGACTACTACGAGGACCTAGCCGCTTACCAGTACGACTGGGACCCCACCGCGGCGGAGAACGACGTCTACGCGGCTGAGCCCCCAAGCTAACGAAGGCAACGAGGAGACGGTCCCTGATGACGAGGCGGCTCTAGCAGACGAAGAGATGGAAGCCTACCAATTGGCACAAGAGGCCAACAGGACCTTGCAGCAGGCCCGGCAGGCAGTGGCAAAGGCTCTGCCGAAACAGCGGGAGATCGCCTCTGTCGCCTACCGCAAGGCTTTGGCAGCAGACCATCTGTCGAAGTTGAACAACGCGGTCGGGAGACCAAAGACCAAGTATGATGCCGGAGCGCTTGTAATGGTGTGGCGCGTTCGAAAGAACGGCGGCAAGGGAGCGTGGACTGGCCCAGTTCGGGTCATCCATATGGAAGGCAGTACGCTTTGGCTGGCTAGCGGTGCTTCTCTTCTTCGTGCCAAGCTGAACCAGGTCCGACCTTGCAGCCGGACCGAAGAACTTACGGCCATCGCAAATGGAGCCTCGATCTACAAGATGCCGGTGATGAGGACTTGGCCGGCGAGACTCCACCGAGCGAGGCCAAGGAGGACACTGGACAAGGAGAAGTACGTGCTGCGCCTCGGCCACGACGGCCCGGAGACGACCGATGGGAACTTCGTGGGCCATGGCTGGTGAGAGTGCATGTGAAGCCCCGCCTTGGACTTTTTGTCCCAGCGCGGACCAAAGGACGGACGATGCCAATCCAGGAGGACCAGCTCACGGGTGTACGTGTGACCTTTCTGAAAGTGACCGGCAACTCCCAGGTGATCCGCGATAACTACCAGACGGGCGAAGCGCCGTCCCGATGCCTTTCGGAACGGTGGGTTGGAGAGACCCATTTCCGAATCAAGGCCGACCATCCTCAAGGACAAGGTCCACCTGAGCTTGACGAGGCCCAGCCTTTGGATCCTACTTTGTTGTCTTCCCCGGCGGCGCCCCCTCAAGAACCACTACTTCCACAAGCTCCACAAGAACCGTCTTCTGGTCGAGGCCGGGAAGCCCAAAGTACTGGAAGATCTTCGATCAGAAAGACCTGTGTTGCCCCATCAAGAACCACTTCCACAAGTGCCACAAGAACCGTCTCCTGGTCCTTCTAGCCAACCGGCTGCGAGTTCAGGTTCTCTGGTCCCTCCGACGCCAATATCAGCGATGCCTGGCACACCCGCACCACCTGCTCCTGTGTCGGCAATGCCTGGAACGCCAGATCTCCCCGGAAAGCTGGTTCCGAACACCCCTCGTGGACAGGCGGTGCCAATGGAGTCGGAGCCGTCTGCTGGATGTCCCGTACCTGACTGTACCCTTCCAGGCGGACATCCTTTACCACACCGTGATGCTGGCGTGTTGAATTCTGTACATAGGAACGCCCCACACCTTTGGTGAGCCCAGGCTACGGTATAGTATTGTATAGCTGTATACTATGTGACCGATGCAGCGCCTTTGGTTCAAGAGTAAAAGCGTGACCGCTCAGGGTTTTACAGTTTAACTTGGTAGCGGAGCGAGGAAGCCTGAAGATCCAGGAAACCCGTGGGCCGAAGGAAACCGGATTGGAACCGGAAGAAGTACACGAGGATACCTGGAAACTGGACAGTAAATCTTGGAATTCGCCATGAAGGTGATCATGGAGAAGATGTACCAGGACCTCTTGCTATTTGTGGTTGGATTCTGTATGAGTATCACGCTGAGCCAAGGAAGCATTCAGGAAACAAGTTGCTTGTGGATGAACATGTCTCACCTTGTTATTCGACCTCAGCCGTTTACCCTCGAAGAGGAAATTTCGGATTGTGTATGGGATCAATTGTATCCCCAAGTATGGGAGAACGATCGGAAGAAGGATCTCTCGTCCCAGCGGCAGGAACTATGGAACTCAAAGACAGTGAGATCTTCCAGGATGAACCTCACCAGAAAGTATCTCGGGTCACGGAACACGAACCGTTGCCTAGAGTGGCAAGGCCTGTACATGAAGATGTCATGGTGGACCGGAATGCGGAGTTGGAAGAAATGCGGCAAAGTGCAGAAGAGAGGCGAGCTACCTTGGTGGAGCAAGCTAACCTCCTGCAGACGCCAGGAAGGAAAGCTGAAGGTACTCCAGCAAAGACTCCAGGTACAACTGGAGGAAAGTCGCAAGAAGAAAAGAAGAAAGAGAAGAAGACTGCCAGGAAAGAATCCAAGCAAAGCCGTAAGGCCGAGAAGGCTAGGAAGAAACAGGAAGAAGAAGCCACCAGTCCTCAAGGTGTTCGGCGTAAGTTGGATGAAGCTATGGAAGTGGCAGGATCGATTGAGAACGTCATGTTGCTTGAGAAAGAGTATAAGAGATTCAGACTTGACGGAAAGTATCAACCCCCCTTCCTCAGTATCTACAGCCGGATGTTGCAGAACAATCAGAAATTCAAGCCCAGATCTTTCTATGATCCCCCAGGAAAGGATCAAGAGACAGAACAACTCGAAGCTCTTAAGGAAGAAGAAGAGAAGAAGTCCGAGGCAGAGTCTCGGAAGAGAAAGTTGGCCGATCTGGAGGAGCAAAAGCGGATCTTGGAAGCTGAGACAAAGGAAAAGCAGCAAGCACTGGAGGAAGAAACCAAACGTCTTCGCGCAGTGGAAAAATCGGAGCGTATGGCCAAAGCACTTCAGGAAGCTAACAAGCAGCCAGCCAAGCTCAAGGTACCTGAAGCAGCACTGGATTCGGCGGAAGAATGGTACCGCAACAAAGCCCTTGAAGTCGTGGACAAGCTACGAGCTCGGAAAGACGAGCAGGTGGAAAACGCTCGTAAGGCCGAGGAGAATTGGCTCCAAGCTTGCAGGAATGTGGAGAAGGCTCAAAGTGGATTCATTGTGGCATCGGAAAGACTGCAAAGTGCCATGGGACAAGCCCTCAACATCGCAGTACGCCACGGAGAAGAAAAGGGTCTACTTCAGATCTTGCAATCCATCCACGATGGAACCACGCAAGCACCAGAACCAGCTGAACCCGCTGTTAAAGCGATGCCAAAGAAAATGCCCAAGTTGGGAACGGACGCTCAGGCTGGAAAGGAAAAAGAGAAGAAGCTTCCAGAGCAGAGAAGGTCTGGAAAAGGGAAGAAGCAACCGCCTGAGGAAACCCCAGGATGGGAGTGGACAGAAAGAATTTATGAAGAAGACATCGACGAGAATCGCCCTCTACGAAGCGGAGAAGAGTATTTACCTGGGTCCGAACCTTTCAGTCCAACTTGGACAAAGGAGTTGGTACAAATCCTTTCTGGATTGGCTATGCGCGGGATTGGAGAGAAAGACGGAGAGTATCAGCCCCTATGGGAGTTCCCTTGGCAGATCACTTCGTATGAAGACTATGAGACAATCCAAGCCCAGCTGGAACCGTACAGTGTACGACTCATTCCGTCTCGCCGCGAGTGTAAAGGTGCTGGACGCTTCGCGGAAGTATGGAGTATGCATCCTGCAGGAAAGGGTCGTTTGGACATCGAGCCAACGGAGACTACCCGGAGACGTACTGTGTACGGAAGCTTACCTCCAGGAAAAAGTTTGTGCTCGCTATGCTGGCATGTTGGACATTGGAAGAAGGCGTGCAAGTTCAGCCAGCTATGCTTCTGCCTGTACGAGCCAATGCTCACGATACTGGATCGCGGAAACAAGACGAGGCGACTGTATCCGATTCGAGGAATCACTCGTCCCGGATTCCAAGGAGATACTACGAATCCGTACAAAAGGTTTCTCCCGATGCTCGCACTTTGCGACTTTGGGAGTATGTCCAGGGAAGTCTCGGAGAGTAACAAGCGATACTGGAAGCAGGCAAAGGATGAAGGAGACTTTCCAGTTCTGTATCGAGAAGAGCAAGCCAGCCGGAAGAAGGAAGCAAGCCAGGCAGCTACAGCAAAGAAGAAGGCCAAGCCAGAGAAGCCCAGCATCTGGACAGCCAAAGAGGATGAAAAGAATGTGGTGGTTTTGGACGAGCCTAGCCCGGAAGCACCAACCCGAGAGGAGCTTCGGCAGAAGTACGAAGAGCACCACAAGGCCAAGCTACGCAAAACGTTGGAGTCGCGTGAAGCAAAGAAAATCTTGGATGCCCCGGAAGCGGATGCAGGAAAAGATCAAGAAGTTCCAAAGGAAGCCGTTCCGGAAGAATCTACAGTACCAGAAGCACCCGCAGTGCCGGAAAAGACGCCTGTCAGGGACACCATGCAGGACGAAGCAGGCAGTGACAGTAAGATGTCGGATGAGGCCAGCGAAAGTGAATCCCCTGTGGAGAATTCGGAGTCGTCGGAAATCGACGAACCAAAACGCCGTAAGACCGCTAAAGAAAAGCAGCAGGAAGAAGCTGGAAGAAGTGAACCAGCAGAGCAGATCGACAAGAATGATCTGTGAGGCGCTTGAGCAACTCGCTGCCCAGTGTACGAAGTTGCGGCGTACAGCAAACGCTGTGCCTGTACTGATAGCACTTCTGCTCATTTGGAGTGGCGGAAGAATGCAAAAAGGAGTGACACGCAGCAGGGATATCGTCACCCATCTACCTTGTATGCGAAGGAAAGTTAACCGGATGCATGGTATTCGTTGGAGACGTAAAGTTAGTGGATGCAAGCGGAAATTCAGAGCAATGGTACTTGTTTGTTTGCTTGTCAGGACGGAAGCTATGCAAGTACCTCAAGCCGCACAACCATCATCAGCCGCCGGAGTGCCAGTACAAGATGGAGCAGATGGAGATGGATTAGGCATGGTACCTACTCAAGAGATACTTGGACAATTGGTCCAGAATTCCAGAGTCACTACAGAAGCTATTCACCAGCTAGTTACCTATTCTGGAAACCAAGGAAATGCAGGAAGTTCGTATGAAGGAATACTCTCTAAGGCATTGGAAGGTGCAGTGAAGATGTTGGGAAGACCACCATCATTTGGTGGAGGTAAAACCGATGCACAAGATTTCATGGACTTCAAAGAACAGCTTTATAATATTCTTGCGTATGCGGAACCCAAGTATTCGGATGCCTTTAAGAACTTGGAGAAGTTGGGAGACCATGAAGTACTACCAGCTACTTTCTCGGATGAAACGTATCAGACTATGTCAACGAAGCTGTACTCGCTATTGAATTCTTGGTTGTCAGGAACCACGAAGCAGCATGCACGAGATCCCAGTATTGCTGGATCCCGGAATGGATTTGCTTTGTGGAAGTCATTGCTGAGGATGTATCAGCCGAGTACGAGAAGTCGGAGTCTAGCTTTGATGCAAGCGATTCATGGATACCCAAACTTTTCACCCGGACTAAGTGCTGTGGCACAGATTTCGAAGCTGGAAGAACTAGTCAAAGACTATGAGAGATGTAGTGGAGTGAGCTACCCTCGAGAGATTCTCCTGTCGACTCTCTTGAGATGTATTCCTAGTCCTTTGAAGGAACACATCCATCTTCAGCTTACGGATAAAACAACATACAGCCAGGTCAAAGAAAGCGTACTAGTCTACGAGCGGACTACGAGAAGTTGGATGCCAAACCAAGTATATCAACCCCTTGAATCAGGACATGGTCAACAGTACCTAGGAGCAGTAGAGAATGCCCCTACTGGTGGAGGACATCAAGCAATGGAAGTGAACAGAGTAGAGTACAAAGGAAAAGGATGGAAAGGAAAAGGCGGAAAAGGAAAAGGCAAGAAAGGCTATGGCAAGATGTTTGGAGGATTCGGAGCCATGCAGGCAGGTAGAGGATTCAGCAGGTTTGGTCGAGGTAGAGGAAAAGGCAAAGGCCGAGGTAAAGGTAGAGGAAAAGGTAAAGGTAAGAAAGGTGGAAAAGGCCGGAAAGGCAAAGGAAAGAGTAAAGGAAAAGGAAAGAAAGGAAAAGGAAAACGACTTGGAAGGACAGTTTGTAGACTTTGTCATCAGGAAGGACACTGGGGAAATGAATGCCCCAACAGACATTCTGTTCGTAACGTGGAAGCCGAAGAACAGTCCCAAGCGGAAGCGTATCCCAACAATCCACCGAACCAAGAACCTTACCCGAAGCCTAATGTGGTCGAAACTGGTAGTATTCGCCAGACGACGAGCCGACCGGATCCAAGGATCGTCACCCGTAGAGTAGGAGCGTCAAGTGGATCAAGTGGATTCAACCCAAAACCATTTTACCACATAGCTACACCGCCAGAAGAATATCCGGAGACCTTCCCAATCAACTCAGAAGATGAGTCCGACATTGACATCACGTATGTCAACGCCATTCGTATGGTTCAAGATGTTGCAGATGGAACTGCAGAACCTACTGGAAGTTGCCAAGGTTGTGGTACACGTCTGGAACCGGTGTGCAAACCAGTTGCGCCACCGACAGAGTCTGGAATCCCACGAGTACCAGAACATTATCCA